TATTATTGACTGTCAAATAAATTTATTATTTGAGTGATATAAGAAATTAAAAGAATTATTTAATTTTACAAATTTTGTTGTGACTATTGTTATAATCCTGACTCGGAACCGGCCTGACATTATTAATCATGCCAATATAGTCAAAATTGGCCCTGCCCTAGGGTCACATAATTTATATAGACTTATATGGAAAAAACAAAATTAAATCTTCTTCTTTGAAGAATAGATTTTTGGCATGTACTGTTCTACAAATTTATAATTATAAGTAATGACTGTCGCCAGAGATGGCCCACCCTGGGTGTCACATATTTTACTTAAAAAGAAAGCCAACTAAAGAAAACTTCTTTTAAGAAACTGTATTCACCAGGCTATCTCAGATATTTGGTTTAAACATATTTTTATTCAGATAATATATATACATGTTAATAATTTACAATTTAAGCAGAAAGGAATTGGACCGAGAGCTACAATAGCTCATAGTAGTCCTCTCCTTTAACAAAAGCAATATGTTTACATAATACATGGCTTATCATAATTTTAATTAAACCCTATAAAGAAAAAAAAACGAAGAAAGAATAAAAAAATACAAATACATGTATGCAATTGAAAGAAAATAATAAAGAGAAAGATAGAGAAAAGAGGAGTTTGCGGATGTTTCATTTGTCGTTTTGGTACGAACATCATTTATGGGGAAAAAAACTTGTGTGAACACTATATTGTATGACAACTAGTATATTACATGCAAATGGGGATACTAGTTGCTTGTTTTGAATCAATCTTAAGATGGAGTTTTCTAGTGTATAGTTGTTTTTTGTTTTCAGTAAACATTACGTTATTCCCGATACAAGACTGAGAAAAAGGAGAAAGAAAATCAACACTAGAGGAAAACTATATTTAAGTGCACACCCGGGTATTGACATAAAGTAATCTACAAAATAGTAATTTAAAAAAATCCGCATATATAAATAAGAGATAAAGAGAGAAAAAGATACAAAAAAGGAAAGCATGATGTGGTAAGAATGATTTAAAGGAAGAAATGTTGTTCTTGGATAACATACATTAATTTCAACGAAGTTTTATATAAATACGAGACTTTGAAAGGTATTTAGAAATTTAAAATTACCAATTTCGTTATCTCATTTTCGAGTAAAAAAGCAACAATATTTACTTATACATAATCGTCAACAAGTACTAAAATGCAAACACACACACAGGCACGCACACACGCACGCTCGCACGCACGCACGCACGCACACACACACAAAATCAATAATGTAGTTTGCTTTAAGAAGTCACATCTATGTAAATTGAAATTGCAAGACCAAGTATGAAAAAAAGCAACGATGTAAACTAATACAAATACATCTTTTAACCTTTGCTATCTTTATCATAGTGTTGATTAAGATAACTAAGAAAAGATTCAGTGTAAACATAACTTATACAAAACTTGAAAACTGCAACTGGTCATGATTAACAAAAGTTAGGATTAAAATTACATAAATACTGAAAATTGAATTTATTGTATAAAATAATACATTGCATTTCAGGCAGTCACTTGAGTTAAATAATACGTTATGAGATTTGTAGTCAATTTACGGTAAAATTAAATAAATTTATAATTAAACTTGTCAAATGAAAATAGTATGAATATAAAAGTGTATTTTTCTAAGAACGAATATTTAATCATTACTTTGCATTGCATAATAATGCACAAAGTGGAATAAGAGTATAATGATCTAAACTGAATGAAAACCTTGGATAGCTTAAACTTTCATCACCTGAAATATTAGTAATTTAACAGACACAAACGCAATAGTATTTATCAATGATAAAAAGAATAAGTAATAACTTGTACTATTGCGTAAATGTCAGCCTTTAAAGAGGATTTAACAATATCAGATATTTTAGACAAATCTTCATGTTTTAATATTAATTCACAACTCAGTATGAAACAATCTGAATATTATTAATCTGAGGTGAGCGATCTAGGGTCATCATTTCCCTATTGTTTACAATCAATTATCCAACATTTTTAATACGTTCTTAAACCTAAAAGTATCTACCTTAAAGTTTGTTCTCTGTCAAATCTGTCTTAATGTCCTTTATTAAAGGGGGTACTTTAGTGTAGCTAAGTAGACTGATTCCCAGCCTACGTGTTTTGATTCAAGTGTACAACTTGAATATATGTCACAATGTTTCAACTTACTAGTAGTTCCGTCGCAGATAGTTAGTTCCAAGAAAAAGACTTAAGAGTAATTGATAATACCTATTCCAAGATGTTTACTTGGCGGTGGATAAGATGCAAGTCTTTTAATTAATTCCGGGACTGTTAGTTAATCATGTTTTATGATACAATACTAGTACTATCAATATGAAGCGTACTGCAGAATGATTCAACAATTCATCTTCAATATATATTCGCAATAATGTGCAAACGAAATTACGAGAAATTCTTTAGCAGGTCTATATGAATGACTCAAAACCATCCTGTAGTGTATATGTACGAGGGATGTTCGAAATTTATTGCTTATTTCTATCTGGAGACTTCAAATTTCAAGTTAGCTCAAAAGTGTTCATTTGATGCCCTCGAAGTACTCCCCGTGGCCAGAAATGCAAAGCTTCAGCCGATGTAGACGTCACGGTACGCTGATCTTGGCACAGTACATTGTAATAAGGTACTGATGAATGGCAGATCCAAGTGCCTGTCGGGACTTGTATTTCCGCCCAGCGAGGAAGGATTTCAATTTCGGAAACAAAAAGAAATCACATGGGACAAGGTCTGCAGAATACGGGGGGTGAGGCAAAACAATTACTTTTTTGTATTCATAAACGCTGATACTATTGGGGGCATTGTCATGTAGAAGACGGATATGCTTAAAACCAGTGACAGGGCGTCGATTCTTATAATACTTTTTCAGTTTCTTAACCCATTACTTCATGAGCATTTTGTGAAAAATGGCTGTTTTCATTGAAAAGCCTACCGTTACAAGTTCAAATTGCTATAAAACTATAAAAACTGCTTCAATACTAATCAAACTTGGCACAAATGTTAATTGGACCATTGCCTTTGTAACAACATGCTCAGTCTAAAATTTCCTGTTACCATGGCAACGAGGGGACATCTCAAATTTGCCAAAAATCACTTTTTTGCGTTGATTTTTCCATCAAAATTGATATTAAAATGCTGCAACTTCTCAATGGATTGAGATAGAGTCAAATGCTTTTCAGCGTTGGTTACACGTTACCTTATGATCGATCTGGGGTCATTTTTAGCTTCTCACAAGTCCAAAAAATGTCTTGGCGATATGGGGGACTACCGCCCCCTCCAAATCCCCCCAAACCTCCCCCTTCTGGCGACCCCCTGATGTATCTTTTGGTTGGGGGCCGCGCCGAAAAAGTGGTCACTTTTTTAACAACATTTCTCAAACGAAAACATGTGTATTGGGCCCAAACAGGATATTTTTTACTATTTGTGGCCTTAAAGAGGGTAGGGGTCGAAAGTGCGTTGTTTCGCGTATAAAAGAGGTAAAGGGTTAAGTACTACGTCTTCGAAGTACTTCGCAGTGATACTTTTGCCCTTTTTCACCGGCAACTTTATTGCGACTCCTTCACCAAAGAAGAAAATTGCATACAAAACCTTCTTTGCACTCAAAGACCGTTTGGCAATTATTGGGCGTTTGTTGTGTTAAGTGGCCCATATTTCGTTGCTAACTTTTCTGACGGGCTCAAAATAACGGACCCAAGTTTCATCACCTGTGACGACATGAGCAAGCTGTTTTTTGTCGTATTTTCGAAACATTTGAAGCAGCTTTTGGCCACCTTAACCCGTTGCCTCTTTTGCTCATCGGTCAATAGATGTGGCACCCATCTAGCAGAAACCTTTCTGACTTTCAAATGCTTCTTCAAAATCAAGTGAACCGTTGATAGTGATATGCCTACCTTTCGTGCAATATCACGAACTGTAAATCTTACATCTCCTTCAATGATTTATTTGGAAACGATTTCGTTACGAGATGCAGATTTTGGCCTACCTGATTTTGGTGCATTTTCGATGCACTCTACACCAGACTCTACACCAGACTCAAATTTCTTTTTCCATCGCCTAACTGTGTCATAAGACACACAAGAAGGTCCATAAGCAGAAGAGAGTTCAGTCATCAACTGCTTCAAAGAGCAACCCAGTTTTGAGCGAGCTTTGATGTAAGCCCGTATTTCATCTGTTTTGTCGTCGCTTCTACCAACAATTTTTACTACAGTGTTCAATGACTGCGTTTATTTAAATGACAAATTATATGTCTTACACTAAGTCTAACATGCACATTTATACACCGTTGTGTAGGTATTGAATTACCAAATACAGACATGTATTGGTTTTTATCGTGTCCCACGTGGATCACGAGATAGAGGACAATAAGCAATTCTTTTCGAAAAGCCCTCGTATGTTAAGTTCGCCGAAATTCCAGTGTTTTTGATTTTAATATCCAGCAAAAATACAGCAGGTGAACTGGGTGTGTCGGTGTTTCTCGATAAATATCAGCATTTTAATAATTGGACTTACATTGCACAATGAAATTTAAAAGCATGTTATTTTGATGGTGAAAAAAGCAGAAAAATTCTCAACTTTTTATTACATTTTTATTCATCATTTTTTTACAATTTTAAACAAAATTAATGTCCAACATTTAAAGAAAAGACCATTACTTGTTAAAGTTATTATTTGAAACATCTTTCTAATACATCATTAATATTGCATAAACTTAATTCGGTTAAAGTAATTTGATTACAATAAAACAGCCTTTCATAGGCTAATGGGTGAAAATAGTAAATCAGTCTACGTACGAATTAAAATACCAGAAAATGTATTCATGTGTTGTGAGTTCTCATACAACTGAGTGCCACTCGTTGCACTGTGACATTTCACCCATACCCTGTCGCCCTTTTTAAGATAAACAAATATTTTCGATGAATTGCAGACGTTTGTTTGTGCCTCATAATAATGAGAAGCGGAGTAATAAGTGTTGTTAATCATAATATTAACATACATATGTTTACCAGTGGTGGAAAAGCAGAACTGGTAACTAAAAGAATAAGATCCGCCCACCGGTGCTGTAAAGTATCCATTTGCATTGCTGTATGCTCCGCCCACGTTGACGAGATTTGTTGTAAAGATGAATCTCTCACCACTACTTACACTGTATGTGCTAAGGGCATGCGCGAGAAACACCACTTCAGAGACTGCAAACAAATGCAAACAATTGACCTTCCTTTAACTGTTCATTTTTTAAAACATCTTCATATAATTTATAATACTTACATAAAATTCATTGTAGAAAATATAGACATTACTTTGCTGCATACTGTTTTATTTCATCAATATACGTGTATATGGTTATAAAATGATTTGTTCCTTAATTTGTGACACCTTGGAAAAAAAATGTTCACAGTCTTTCCAAGTGACATAGATACATTTGTACCTTTCCTGTTCAGCAACTTAGAAATATAGAGTATGTTTATTCATTTATTTAAGTCTTAATAACATATATGTATATATCAATCCATATACAATACAGGACAAAAACAATTGGCATACATATATGAAACCAAAAACTAAGTCTTAATAACATATATGTATATATCAATCCATATACAATACAGGATAAAAACAATTGGCATACATATATGAAACCAATCAAATATTTGATTTGCTAGAGACTATTGAAATACATCTTCACATTACAACTTAAAAACTATATCACATCTTTTTATGACTTCTCACTTAATGTTCATATACAGAAAAAAGAAATTAAATTACATCTGAGTTTGTTCTTAATCATAACTTTTGCAAGTCAAAAATCTTGGCAAGTATGTCATATTTGAGTAAAGTTAAAATTCAAACTTTTCTGCCTATCCCATAGAAAACGGCTAAAAATTCAATCATAAACAAATTACTTCAGAGATTACAATTTTTATTTTGCTAAAGTGTATGAAGACCCAGATATTAATTTGTTCTATAACAACAGTAGTTGTGTCAAAATTATGACTTGGCATTGATAAGTATAACTAAAAACAAACTCTCCTTATTTTACTGTTCTAAACTAAACTTATTTCTATATATATATATATATATACACACACACACACACATAATCGAAATGCTATGACCTATAAAAGTTTTGTTAAAGTTAATCTATTTCTATGTTTGTTGTTCTTTTTTATAAATTAAAACTTAGAATATAGTTTAAAACCGAATTTAATATAGTTTATAATGCTCGACATTACAAAATGATCTAAACAGTAAAAGCACATGACTGATCTGATCAGACATATGGATTATTAACAAGGTTTTCTAGAGCAAGATATAGTATAATTATCACAAGTGCACCAGATATTTAAATATACATTCGCTTTGAATGTTTGACTTATTATGCAATATTATACTCTAGGTCAGGACTATTGTTTTATTTGTTTTATTTTCTTTTATTTATTTTTATATCAGATTCAGTAAACTATTAGACTGTTTTTGTGTGTTTATTCTTTTTGTTTTCACTTGCCTCTTTCGGAATACTTTTCATATAAATATTATATTTTTATTGATTATGAAAGAAACAGTTTGCGAAATTATTGAAATGCAGATAGATAGATAGATAGATAGATAGATAGATAGATAGATAGATAGATAGATAGATAGATAGATAGATAGATAGATAGATAGATAGATAGATAGATAGATAGATAGATAGATAGATAGATAGATAGATAAATACTTTTATTTCCTCCAGTATTTGAAGAGCTGATATGTTAATTGTTATTTAATGGTCTGAGACTTTTACGATAATTCGGACAAGTCAGCTGACTATTACATCATATCTATGACAATATGACTATTATAATGAATTTAATCTAAAACAATTTATTTTAAATTTATTAATCTGAATATCTGTTAGACATTTTTTTTGACAGCCGGCCTGACATAAGTCTAAATTGAATTATTTTTATTGGTTGAATCGGCAATCTAATAATTGAAAAAGCATTTTTATTGGTTGATTCATTAATTTGTTGTTTAATGATTGTATTTTCGTTGATTAACTATTGAACTCATTTTAGATAGTGATTCTTTTCAGAACTTTTCAGATAGTCAGACAGAAAAGATGTTAAATTAAAACTTTAAGGCGATGGTGCGGCAATTAGCTAAAGACTATTACGAGGGGTGTTCAAATATGTATGTAACTGAGCCAGTATCTCGCTTTTTACCACGTTTTGCACTAACTATGTACATGTATCGCATAGATGGCTGATGGCTGTGTAAGCTCTCAATTGATACAATACGTATGTAAATCAGTTTAGACAAGCTTTGACAATAGCTCGATTAACGCTTTCTACTCGTGTATACTAAAGCTCAAATGGTTTGGGAAAAGGTCGCCTTCCACTGACCAAATACGATCTTATTATCAAGAACCGCTGTATTCTTGCTATACAGGCAAAACAACATATTTAATGAAATATATCATGATTATGGGAACGATGAACGTCAAACGGTTGTGTAAGAAATTTAAAGGTGGTATGGATTCAGTAAAGGATGCACCTCATGCAAGCCGTCCGAAAACTGCAACTTCGCCAAAACTGCGTGGAAAAGTAAAAGGATTTTATTGCTACTGATGCCAGATTTACAACTAGATATTAAGCTAAATGCGTTTGGTATCACTGTAGGAGCCACTCATACAATTCCCTCAGACGTGAATTAAAAATGAGAAGGATAAGTGCCAGATTGATACCCCATCTCCTTACAAAAGAGCAAAAACTTTTCCGGGTAAGAATCTCAAAACAATTGTTGAAACAGTTTCCTAATTGCAACAATCGATCTTTCGAAAATATCACCACTGGCCTGGCGATAAGACGTGGGTTCTCTCCTTTATGAGCCCAAGCGAAAGATACATAACAAAATATGGGCAACCAAGGAAGTCAAAGATCTTCCATAGCAAGACGCACATGGAACGTCAAAAAAGGTAATATATGTAAGTTTCTTTACCAATCAAGGTCCAGCCATTCAATTTCCGTTCCAAAGGGTAAATCTGTAAATGCCAAGTTGTATAAAGGCAAGGATCTTCATAAATTAAAGAAATATTTAAAAAATCGTCGACCAGCAACTGGTCTCTATTGGGTCAGGTATTGCTTTACAATGCTTCGTCACACAAAGTGGCAATTGTACGAGAATATCCGAGACAGGAAAAGGTTGTCGAGGTACCTCACCCTCCTTTTTCGCCAGATCTTGCCCCTTGTGACTTTATTCAGTTTCCGAGTCTCAGAAAACACCTTGCTGGAAGAAAATATCAAACGCAAAAAATCTCTGTTGGGCTATTTTCCAGTGTCTGAACTGTATACCTCGAAAAGATTATGAAAACACGTTTAAAAATTTGACTGAAATACTAAAACATTGTATATCACATGGTGGTGAGTATTATTAAGGATTGAGATAATTATTTTGGCACTTCTGAAAATTCACCCAGTTTTGCATTCATATTTGAACACCCTTCGTAAAACCGGTGAGTTTGTGCTTGATATATCATAACCTAAATGATACAGAATTTACTAATCAGGATCAAATTGATTGTTTATGATATATACCTATATAGCTAACTTGCCCTAGCGACCAAGCCTATCAAGAAACTTTAGCCATTAACAACCACTTTAAATTCACCCCAATCACTTTGTCTCACTCTCTCTCTCTCTATATTTAATGTATTAAGCGACTTTGTTCCACCCGACCAGAGACCACTAATAAGTCTAATTGATCGCGACTACTTTTACCAATGGCGCTTTATGCAAACACAAATGTCAACAATCAAAGCACATGTCAGAGCCATTTATTTCAAATTCGAGTAGTGGAGAAGTATAAACAGAAAGCAAATAACTTAAAAGAACTTTATTCAGTTCGAGAATTTACAAATAAATTTCATCTCAATTTAAAAGTTTATTTTCTAAATCCTGAGGAATTATTATAGTGAAATATGTCTGCCAAGAGTTAAACACGTTATTTAATATAAATTACTGAAATTTATGCGATTAACTAGTTTTGTTGTCTATTAAACAGTTAAATGACGAATAATAAAAGTTATCAGGGTTCTTAAAAACGGCCTACAGCTTTAAACATATCTGAGGGATGGGTATCTAGAAAATAGAAATTTGAATATTTGTACACATTTGTAACCGACTAGCTAGCTAGCTAGCTAGCTAGCTAGCCAACTCACCCACACACTCACACACTAACTTACTAACTAACTAACAAACTCACTCACTCACTCACTCACTCACACACTCACACAATACCTAACGAACATGAAAGTTTAGTTGATAAACAAATAATTATATATCACATGTTTTTAACAGGTACGTGTTGGGAGATTTGTCAAATACACACTATATATATAAGCTGACAATTATTTTTTATCTGGTAAGTGAGTTTGCAAGTTTAATATATATTCGTCATTGAACTGTTAAACATTTATCTAGTGAATTGCACAGATATCTTTTGTTTACCTCATTCACACGAAAACAAACAAGTTAGTAATATGAATAATGTGATAATTGACTGTTTAACTGTTGCCAGAAATATGACACTCTAGATCATGGTTATAACAGACAAGACGATGATGAGCATAGGGAAGTATTTAAGCCATGTTTACATGTATATATGTATTTATCTGGGGTTTGCATATTATGACGACATGGAAAACATTGACACAAAACTTAAATAACGTTATAACAGCTAGATACGAGTTAAAGCGCCAGAAAAAAATGTCCTGTAACTTTGACTCTCAGATGATATTGTTGTACTTCCTCCAACGCAAGTTATCCAGACGCGTTCGCCTTTATGTAAGTATACATCGATGTCGGTTGACTGACAAACGGTAGCATACGCATCATAAAAATCAATTATTGAGTATACCTTACTTTCAACCATAAACTTTAAATAAATATGCTGCCCAGTCGTATGGCAAATATTAATGCTGAATGAATATGACCCATTCAATGGGGCAGTGAACTTTCCAGTAGAACTGCTATATGCTCCTCCTTCGTTAAACAGAATAGTGGGAAATACTAGATCCTGACCAGATCGTGGTGTTGTATCTGTGACACCATGAGCAAGGAAGACAATAACTGCAATCAGAGAAACACCAACGAATAAGGAATAGGATAAAACAACATAATCATCATGAAATAAATCAACAGCACAATTAGTAAAGACACAGCAATTTCTTAACAAAGATAAATCTCAGGGCAACACCACATAAATCATGAAGCAGATAAAACACTCACGTTTCAAATTGAATTTTACCTTATAGTTATAATCTGGTCAGGAAAACAAGTCTGATAAACAAGAATGTCAGCGATGTCTCAAGAACAGATCCCATATTTATTCATGACAAAGCTTCCATCAAGTCTGGACATTAGAAAGCGATGATGATATCAATTATGAATGAATGTAATAATTAACTCAACCCTTCAAAAAGATGAAATAGTTACATCATACTGGTAAACGATGGTCTCTATCCGTGAAACCGAGTGGAGTAACTTATTCAATTTGGATCCAAATTGACAGATGAGTTAACATTCAAGGAATGACTAGGAATTATCAGTACCTATGGACTCTTTTGAAAGGCACTGCTTCAAAAGCTGGGCTATTTAATAATCTTTCTGGCTAATGACTGTCATTTGTTATTGCTCGTAAGGTACTTAGATATACCCAAATGTATTTAAGAGTAGTTTTTATGTGATAGGAAATGTAATTAAACTATTAAGAATCTTTTCAAAAATTGAAGTGTCGCTGTTTAGTGATCAAGAGAGTAAATGTGATGTATTTGATAACTATTGTTATTTGAGTCATCAATTTCAGCTTTGTTTTTTTGTTATAAACAGGCCTAGTAAAGCCTTACTTTATAGAATATTTGTATGTACTGACTACTGAATCATGTTAGGAATCTTAATTTCGTTTTCAACATCATTAAACTTGAGAGTAGTCTGTACCACTGGTCATTATAATAGTGAACGTATTTTTTTACGTATCCCTAATTTGGTTTAAATTATTTACATGCTAAAGTTTTTAGATTAGGCTTAATAATCGAATAGTAAATATATATTATACAGTCCCCTCCAAAAGTTTCCGGACAAACGTTTTTTATTGAAATATATACTCTATGTAATTTGCTTATTTTATAAATCTGAAACAACAGAAGTACCTTAAAAAAGGTGGGATAAAGAAAGATAATAAATTAACATAATTTGTTTGCAAAAAGTCATTATATGTGTAAAAAATATTTTCCCCCTAAACCCCATGTTTTTTGTGGTACATTTGAAAACTTGAAAGTGACATTATGCTCATATTTCAATAATAAAGTTGAGCCGAACTGACTATATATTTCAATGTTCAAATGGCAATCGACAAAAAGTTTATATTGAAAAACGTTTTGGATAACATTTAAAATCTGCCTAAAATATAAAAAGACTGCCCCAGTCTTTTTAGGAACTGAACATTACAGGTAAATTCTAATGGATATTTAAGAAAAAATCGTTTGGATCCATGCGTTGTTTATTTTAATGTGAAATAATTGTTTTTATTAACAGGAATTATGGCAGAATGAAAACTTATTTTGACGTTCACCTGTTCAGTCATTTATACACTTAGATGGGCATAATGTCACTTTAACCATAAAGTGAAGTGTAGAGGACATTAATTCCAAAATCAGAAAAAAATGTAATGAGTATAATAACATGTAATGGCTATAAAAGTATCTATCTATCTTTATTTTGGTAAGGTAAAAATAAAAAAACCAATATCTATTCTTGGATTTCTTTCCTCTTATTAAAACAAATATAATTGATCGGTTTTATGTTTCCGTAACATTTTGTAAAACATACTAAAGAAGGAAGTTTTTTTTCGGAGGCAATGACAACAAGATTCTATCAAAGGCAGGACTTTCGTTTCAACTCATGTCATAAGTCAGCAGCATTTAAAATTCCTTTTTTACAATTCATTTCTTTTGGTTTTTTTTGTTGTTGTCGTGGTCTTGTTTTGTTTTTTAATTGAAAAAAAAACTAGACAAAATGAAATAGCAATAGCATAGTGCAAATGAAATCGGAAGGTATATTCACTATTTATGTGTTAAAGACATGATTCGAGATATTGATGCTTATAAACGATAACAAGAGGAGACTTTTTAAAAGATTCTTTGCCGAGATATTGCAAAATTTATTCCAGATTTTTGTATGCATTAAGAAATGGTAGAAGTGCATGTTTTATTATGTTATAATAGCAGTTATTACGTGTGCAGATTCATAGTTGTGATGCAGGGCTCTCAGTAGCAGGGTTAGGCCAACAAATTGTTCTACAAGTTGATGTATAATATGAGCGAAATCCCGACCAAGAACGAAAGGTACTGCAGAATCTGTATTTTGGATGTTGAAATATCTAATGTTTCTGAATCTCACAAGTCGATTACTCTTCGAGCAAAGTTTAAATGAGGCAAAACAGATGTAAATACTCCAAAGAAAGCATTCTATTCCATCTCCAACACTCAAAGATATGTAATCCTCGAATAATAACCTGAGATATAGGGGTCGCACTTTTTTACAGTTGTCATAAGTGACTTACATACTGCTGTAAAAATAAACAGTATGAAAACCAAACCATCAAGAGAAATTTAGAATGCATTTTCATATGCTGCATTTTCCCCTTAAATATAATTATTATGATTTCTCCTTGAATTTCAAGTTACTTACCGCATTGTTTCTGGTTGCAATCTTCCATCTCTGTCACTGGTCCAGCACAATATTGTCCATGTAGAGATGGTGATGGATTTGTACAATTTCTGAATCTTGATCGCAAACCTCCATCACATGTTGCCGAGCAAGTTGTCCACGTTCCCCAAGTAGACCATCCTCCGTCTGTGTTTTCAATAAAATGTTTATATTAGAAAAATAATATCAATTATATCATATTTGTTGCAATAAGTCAATCCTTGTGTCAAAATAGCAAGGGTACAGTTATAATCGCTCAAAACAAACCTTGTATTTTATTTCTAGTTCTTCTTTCGTAATTATATATCATGTTTACCGGGACTCTATATAGCCAAAATACTAATGTAAAAACTCAAAATTTATGATCATCGTCCTAAACGCAATTGTAGCCTTATTTATCACGGTTATATGACTTACTTGTACATGGACCTTGCATACATATTTTGTATTCCAATGGATCTCCGAAGCAATGATCTCCAAAGCGTGAAGGATAAGGATTTGTGCAATTACGAACCCTTCTCTGTACCCCAACATCGCATGTTACTGAGCATGCGCCCCAATTTTCCCATCCTGTCCATCCACCGTGAACTTAAAAGGAATACATTTTGAAGTTACAATTTTATTTTGCAATTTTAATTCACATGGCTTTGATTTATAGTCACGACAGCAAGTTATTTTCACATGGCCGATGGAACTTGGTGGGGTCGTACTATGGTATGGTATCGATAAACGGTATGTCCGCCGGTCCGTAGATAATTTGTTTTCGCAGATTTACTTTTGAAGGATTTCAATAATTGTGTAAATATTTTTAGCATGTAAGAATTCTATTTAAAAACGCAGATCAAAGTTGATTTTCGTGTGCAATCAACTTATTTTTGAAGGTACATTTTGTATAATGTAGAATTTCGGACATACATTTTTCGAAGCCTTTTAACCAATTTCATGTTAAATTATTGGTTTCCTTGGGATAATTTTTAAGGATTATGTTTGTATTTGACAAGTGAGTATGTTATATCAAAATACATGCAAAGTTTGTTTTTCGCAGCAATGAATTAAGGAGTCATTCTTCTTTTTAAGCAAATTTATATCAGATTATTGGTTTCTATAGCAAAGCTTTTAAAGGATTTCAATAATTATGTTTATATTTTGCAAGTAAGTAATGTTAATATGTCAAAAACAGGTTAAGTTTGATTTTCACTGCAATCAACATATTATTGAAAGAGTTTTGCCAGAATTAAAACAGAATATATGTAAAAAGTATTGTAACTTTTTAAGAATTTATCTTAAAGGCATATTTTTGTCTGTGATACCTTCTTTTGAATATGCTATCAGGAATATGTTGCTCCGCCTGAGTGATTTTCTTGTTAGGTAATGATACAGTTTTGATACTTGTTTGGACATGTTGGATGTTGCACTTTTTCATTATCCCTTATGTACAGACTCAATCAAACTGAGTCTACAATTTTCATGTAATTTTGCTGGTTTTTAATGCTTCCGGGGGATCACTTTTTTCCCCAGATTTTTATCATAAAAATACATTAATATAATCTAGATAGACTTGTTCCTCACTTGAAGTCTGATAAATCGTTGGGCACAGTAACAATTACATCAATGTTTGAACATGAGACAAAGAAAAACTACGTGAACATACCTATCACAGTCTTGCAAGGATGTGAATTAATTTTCAACTATTAAATTTATTGTTCATGAAATATTCAAAGTGAACGATAGCTTACTAGGACATGGCTGGTTTAAACATGTTTTTGTATCTGTTTTATTTCCAACACAGTCAAGGCCATGGTGCGCAGGTGCAGGGTTAGTACATGTTCTTTTTCTTGTCTGCAGCCCTTTTTCACATGTCACGTCACAAGCCGACCATTGCGACCATTCTGCCCAGTTTCCATCCACTTAAGCAAAACAAAAAACAAAAAAAAAAACATACATATAGCTCTAAATTGTTTAATAGTATGTACATTTACGTTTTTAATATCAAGAAAAATGCCAATACTTATTAACAATAATATTACACGAATTTGGTAACAAAACCACCGTTCAAAGTATTTAAATTTAGCTTTATTTGTCTAGCTTTGAAACAGAAGAGTACTAATCTATGCATAATCGTAATTATTTTCTGCATACTCTAGTTTTTGATTGTTTAAGTAAAATGCCCAGTAGAAAACACTCAAATATCATAGACAAAACATAACAAGAAAATGTAACCTGAAAATATACGAAGAAAATGTTTCAAAGTATATTTACCTAATGTACAGAGGCCGCAGAATTTCGGACAGACATTTTTCGAATGCTGAATGTCTTTGCATATGTTGAACATTGCATTTAAGTAAGCACAATCTACTTTCACATCGTCCATACACGTTGTAGCTGAAATTTTAACGTAATATTATGATGAAGTCTGAATTTATCACAACCAATATTACAAATTAAAATAGGAAACCCATGAAAATGCGATTACATTTTGTAAAAAAGGAATGTTAAAAAATCAAAATTTGGACAAAAGATGTTAATAAGGTCAAGGTTAATAAGTATGTATTAGTTTTTATTAAAGTTATGCGTATACATTATTTGTATCACTTATTTAAAACTGAAATATCATTGTTTATATAACTTGTAACCTACTTCTGATTCCTTTTTCACTTAAAAGTAATTACAAATTTTAAATAGGATGTTTCAAGTACATTTTACTTTTCAAATATTGTTGATATTGTTTTAGGTTGTGGTGATAATATTGTGTTCAAAGTTATCTTTGTAACGGTAATTTGCTGTCCTTATTGTCTCTTAAATGTTTATGTTTTCTATATTTTCTTTTAGTATAATTATATTCTATTATTTTGTTTCGATCATTTTCATTTGTATTTCGGTCCACTTTGGCCTAGGACAAAAGTTTGAATTGATACAGTCACTGTTTGCCTTTTAATTTTTTTTTTAATTATTTAAGGAATCTGAAGCAAAATTAATAGATTTTATTAATCAAGATATAACCATTAATATGCTCATCAGTCTTGTTTATTCACATACACACATATATAGTATATGCCAGTAAAGTAGCTTCATACCAAGGGTAATAAATGAAATTTAGAAAAAAAGCAGTTTATTCTATTTACTCTTTGTGCTAACTTAGATCTACAAAAGGAACTTACGTTTAAAGTGGATACATAGTTGATAGTTACATCTCTCTGTACTGCAGCATTCATGGCAGCTCGTTTCTCGTTCACTAACGTCCCGACCAACAATTCCTGATTGAATACCGCATTGCTACATACATGTATAAAACATTAGATACATTTATGCTATAACATGAGTTAAAAGAACTTCATGATGAAATATCATAATGCACTTACAGACATAGAATTATTCCTATGTCACATCTTTCTCTTACATGTCTTTAAAGTGGGTCTCAAGTTACGCATTTGCATATCACCTCAGCCATTGGCTTTTATTTAAGACCTTCGTAAATAAATATTTACTTGTTTACTGATATGTATCATGAAATGATTCAAAGTTTGAACAAATAATTATAAAAAACTCTTTTGCTCAAACTATGAATGCAAACATACAAGCTAAAACAGTGCTATTTTACTCTTTCAGAACCTTGAATGGTTTAGAAATGGAAACTTTCAACGAAAATTTATGCTCTATATTGTTTCCCATCAACATCTTCTATCGTAAAGATATTATAACTGGTTATTAACATGTACTAACGAACCTTATATCAAACCTAGTTCATTAGAATGACTTATAAACTTACTTCGTTATTAGTGCAGCCCATTGTTAACTTTGTGTCTTGTCCAGATGTAAAGGAGTTTGTATAACATGACTACAAGTAACAAAAATATTTTAAAATGACAAACGTACATTTTAATAACATGAGAAACTTTTATTTTTTAATTTTGTGTTCTTTTATTTAAACAAGATTGAATTATTTAAATAGTAACGTAAACATAACTTTATTTTTAGTTGGGTTTCATTTAACACCAACAAAGTTCAGGTCATATGGCGACTGGAGGAAGACCAAAGGTGCCCTTCTGTGCATTGTGTCAGGCACGAACGGGCACCTGAGTAAAACAACCTTCAAGACAAATCTTTGCATATGAAGAGAACGTTATCGGCTTTTCTATTGACTTGATTAAGGTATTACCACCCTAATGGGCACTATAGTGAACTAAACAATTGACATCATAGGTCAGATATATACCTTAAAGTACACCTGTATGCAAAATTTAAACAAAGTTTACCGTACGGAAATCAAGTTATGGCCACTTTTCTGTATTCAAGCTAGGATGTTATGACGGTGCCTTTTTTTAGAAATGAGGAACGTTTAAAAAATCAGTGCAACAACATTCTAATGAAAAATGTTTTCCCATTGATTTTTGGTAAGAAACAAATAGAACTATTCAGCTAACAATCCACATCAGCAAAATTATGGTTTCTACTTCAAATTTATGAAATCTGTATAAAAAGGTTACCCTACCCCACCCATTTTTACCACGTGTCTGACCATTTTCCTACTTAGGGAGCCTAATTTTAAAAAAAATCCTTAAAATTTACCCAAATGAGTGCCTGTTTTCAAAGTTTCCCTAATTTTTTAAAGAAGTATATTGGTTGATCTTGTAAAATATGAAATACTTTTACTTTCTAGTTTTAATTTTATGACACTTTGAAAATATCAGGTACCATATTTATTACTAGATTTAGCATAATTTAGCCAATAAATACCTATATAAATTAAAAAATCAAAATTAAACAATATAAGGGTAAGAGTCTGTTATAGAGTTTACACAGAAACATAGAGCTTGTAACCCATAGATATAATAAAAAGACATCGGTTTTTGTTTTTAATTATGTTTAAGAATAAGTGAAGGTGACGAATTAAGAAGATATGATGATATAATACCTGTCCAGTTCGACATTGCGTTGTTGATATACAGTTGTTGACTGATGACACACCCGAACATGAGTAGCATTCCAGACAATCTGAGTATTAACAATATGTAACGACTATTTACTTTTTATAACAACATGTAGATATGTTAATCATATTTATTAACCAACTTTCTTTGATTTTTTAGAGATATGTCATCGGTTGGGTAGTTCTATTAATCCACTGTTGATCAGTTACCCAGTCAATAAATTGGTCCATGGTTCAGATTAATTTAGATTTGAATACGTATCTCATTTTATAAATTAAATTGATGAAAGTATTAAACTTTAAAATAAAATACAAACCGACTATGCTCAGTGTTCCAAGTAGAACGAGGAAAGGTAAATCTGAAACAAAATTAACAAAACTTTGAAGTTGATTATAAATAATATATGTTAATTTTAAAAAAGAGCCGAAGCAACTTTTCAATTACTAGAAGTTAATAATAATAAAAAATTGTTTGATTTAACTCCACATTTACAAATCGAAAAATACTTTGTTATGCCACGTTTTCATTTCTTCTATATGATTATTATTTCTTTTTTTTAATATGATATCTTTAACAACAAGTACACTTGTAGGATCTGTTGAAAAAGACATCCATCGAGAACTAAGACAACATAACCGAAAGGTTTGTCTCTGACGGTAAGAGAACATCTTACAACCACCCTAGCACGGTTTATAGCAATATTTATTATTCAACACTTTGAGCAAAGAAATCTATGATCCTGAAGATTTTTTTTTAAATGGATAGAAACAATATGAAAACAGAGCAATTTTATGCACATGCAATTAAATAATTGTTTCAAATAAATTGTATATAAAGAAAATTTCAGATTAAACAGAATCAAGTGGGGGTTTTTTTGTATAGAAACGTTTTTATAAAAGATTCATAAAATGACTTCAAAGATAGATTAAAACAAATTTTAGTTTGTCAAATATAACACTAATAAAATCATTATGCGTTGTAAAAGATCTCTTTTGAAAATTCGAAACGATGCATGTGTACATAAACTTTCGTATTTCTAAGCATTTTTATAATGAAATCAAGAACACTTCATGCTTAAACAAGTACACTAAGTTTTTTCCCTAAATTACACCGTAAAATACTTAACAATCACTATATAAAAGTACTTAAATTAATAAAAAAAATAGAATAATAAAATCTCTTAAATAATAAAATCTCTAAATTAGTAAAACAATAAAATCTCTTTCAGAGTATTTAAAATGATAAAATCTCTAAATAATAAAATATCTAAAACAATAAAATTTCTATCAAAGTATTTAGAATAATAAAATAATCGAATCTCTACGAAATAAAATCTCTAAAATAATAAAATGTCTAAAATAAAACAATATTTAAATCGCTAAAATAATAAAAATTTCTATCAAAGTACTTACATAATGAATGCATATTTCGCTGAGTATTCTTCTTAAGTTTGTCAAAGTCTTCCTTCCATCTCGTGAGCAGAAATAAAGCTCCTTGAGATTTTTTTTCTAATATATACTCAAAATATTGCTCTACATTGATAAGGCCATATAAAAAGAGGGTCGTTCATTTGATTTTATTTCAAGTTAAATTTATATGTAAAGCTTCATAGTATAATCCTTCATTTTTGTAACCTCAAAATCCAATAATAAGTTTACCCTAACACCACTAAGACGCTGAAATTTGCAGTGATGAGAAAACATAAGCAAAACACTTAAGCAAATGAAAACCACTTAAGTATTCTTAAATAAATGGCAGTACAAATTCGTTTTTTTTTGTAGACTGTCTTTTGGTATGATAGCACACACCTGAAAAATATCAAATGAACGACCCTCGAGGAAAACTCTCTAGATATAAGTATCATCACATATATATGTCAATAGCTTCTTGGATCTATCGGCCAATGTTTTGAAAAAGAAAAAAAAATACTTCAGGAATTACTGGCATCATTTGTTTTGATTCTGGGCCATAGTGAATGGTACTTGAATTGATTAGGCATTAAACATTGCTTTCGCAAAAAATAAAAAATAAGAGCTGCCGGCAAAACAACGTGCTCGACTATACTGTTGATAGTAAACTATAGCTTGGATAGTGTAGAATTTTCTTAGTTCATAAAGGGCCATAATTCTGTGAAAATATCATATAAGAGTTATGGGCCTTGGAAAAAGACCTACTTTTATTCTCTCCAATAAGTGTGTAAAGTAACAGCCAATTTCATTCAACAGTTTTGGAGATACCAACTTGCACGCAAAACCATAATTACAGTAGCTCTCTTTATTCTCTGAAAATGAGATTAATAAGACAAAACAGAATCAAATAATGGAATACAATCGTGAACAATGGGTACACAGTTACATCTTTTAGAATACAATCGTTAACAATGGGTACACAGGTACATATTTTAGAATACAATCGTGAACAATCGGTACACAGGTACATATTTTAGAATGCCAGAATTGATATCACATAATTTTCATCGTTTGATTGCTTTTAATAATTTCTTTATAAACAGGTTAATTTTACTTACATTTCTTGTTAACTATACCGAAAATAAGTATCACTATTTTAACCAAATGTTTAGTAAGGTCATTTGAAACTAATATTAAGTGAATATTAAACTTCGGGCACCTTCGACTTGTAAGTACATTTAAAGACAAGTACACCTCTGTAGGCTATGTCTGACATTATGAACATGTAGAAAAAGAAAATGGAAAAGACATCATAAAGCAAACATCAATTCGTGCAATAGATTGATTACATGGCTTTAAAGATGACATAGATCCTACTTACAAAATCAACAGGAGTTTGTACAATATGATTAAAATCACCTTTCAGATTTAGTTCACCAACTTTGTCTCAGATAATTTAGATAGTGTTAAATGTCATTGCCCTAGATATTGGAAAATAATGGTGGTTGTCACCAAATAAACCATTAGATAATGTTACAAATTTGGAATTCTATGAAAAGACTTTGAATGTAGAGCAGGACAAGCCTATCGAACACCTGGCAATATTACATGTTAACTTGTGCAAGAGGACCCCGGTTGTTTTTAGTACACTAATATAGATCGGGCACGATTTGGGCTAAATATTAGATGGGACTTGAGCTCACAGACCGTCTCTCAAAGAATTTTAAAACATGTGAAAGAAAATAAGGCGATTGATGACTATAATATTTCAACTTGATTTAGCGCATGGTCTGTTAAATACGATCACGTAAACAAGTTATATTAAGATAGTTTGATCATTTTAACTCTTTCATTAGCTCATGAAAAACATGCCGATTATTATAATAAGTAAATATTATATTATTTTTTTAACATACTGAATAGAAGAAAATTAATTTTATACACCTGACATTATTTTTATAACGTTTTGTGTTGTTTTTTTTTAAAGATGTACATGTATTATCTAGAAAATAGCTTTGCTATTATTCTAAACCAAATTTGATTAAATATGACTATAACATTAATACCTTTATGGAACATTTAAGGTGCTCTGTTACCCAGTACTTTAATTTACTTCAGTAGATTCATTTTATAACACAGGTTCACTACTCGGATTCATATTAGCAAGGGTATTTTAATTTTTTGTTTGTAAATAGTAATTAAACGTTCTAGTCTCTTATAAATCTAATAGATTGACAATATGCATTCATATTACATTTTATATGTATTTCATTTGTGTACATTGATAAAACTCTGATAAACAAATAAATAAAATATAAAGTAAGGGTTTTAATATGTCTTGTTAAAAAAAACTACGAACTGACAATAATTAAGATCGTAGTCGTAATATCATCATTATCATTCTTAATATTATCACAATCACCATCATCATTATCATCATCATCATCATCATTATCATCGTCATCATTATCATAATCATCATCATAGTCATCATAATCAGCATCATCGATTTGTTATTGTTATTATAAATGTTAATTAAAGTAACCAGTGCGAGTTGCAATTATTTCCTTACATTTTTTGATAATTCAGACGGGGTGTTAATTGTTTTATTCATTTCTTTTGTCATAATTATTTCAATTGTAAAGACAAAAACAAAGTAAACTAAAACATCAATTACATCAGGAATATAGTTCATATTATGTCCCATTTTACTTGTATAAAAGGTCATGTATTTGGTTCATAGATTTTAATTTAAACAATGGAAGAGATAAAAGAAAATAGCAATATTTGTGTCATAAGGTGAACTTGCCATTGTTCAAAAAATGATGAATATTACCATTGTTTAGGTTACATTTTTATATAATGATAACAGATATTCATTTCAATATATTTTCCCTTACCAGTGTTAGGACAACGGGGTTCGGGTTTTTGAGCTGGGGTTATACATGTGGCAAAAATTACTTTTATTCTTGTTTGTTCAAATTATTCATGTGGGGCACGGAAACACACAAAAGAATCCAATCCGTTTAACATTAAAAGAGGGATTCGAGTCTATTATTACAAACTAACACGGATACAAAAACTGGCCTCTTGTTTTTTGGTGCAGGTAAGAACACAAACGTGCGTTTATATATTTTATTAAGCCAGTCTCATCTCATTAGTCGCCGGTTTCTACCGGCGACTATATTTGTAACAGTTTAATATTATACCTATGGTAGGAGAAGGCCTTAAAATTTGTAAGTAAAAGCACATCAATTACTGAACAATTAAAGACTACAATTGTTTTACTAATCTCAAAAATTCAAACATACAATTACGTTGCTCAATGAAATGAAATATTCAAATATTGACATCTTAAAAAGCAACATGACAATTTTTATAAAATGAATAAATGATGTATCCCTATGGATAAGTCATTGAATTAAGGGATACTTTTACTTATTTCAAAGTGTCAAGCGTTGCTATTTTATGATAAATAAATCATGCATGGTATTTGAAATGACACTTTAAATTATCTGTGTGTTTATATCTTATGAGACCTATTCTATTTTATTATTTAATTTAGTTATAAACTATTTCTCCATGTTTCTTTGTAAGAATCACGTGACTACACGTTGTATGTTATTGTTATAAAATCTATTAATAGTAACAAATGGCTGATAAAACAGACATACAGGTAGCACAAGGTATAGAAGGTGATAAAGTGCAAATCAAAGTAATTTTGTATGAATAATTACAAAATCTCGGTATGACGGTAGGGTCCCGGAATCGTATTGGATATACAGAGCAAACTAATAAACTATCTTTTTGTTGATAGTTTATCGCACTGGAAGGCAATTAAACGTTAATTATATCGTATGTAACGGCGAGAATATTGATTTCAACTAAATTATATATTTTTTCGATAAGAATAATTTTTTTATGCAGACACCACTTTAACAGTAGAATTGCATTGTTTTATGCAATAATTAAGCATATATATATTTTTATAGTCACTTTGCAAATATTCGATGATCGGTAATTATCGGATTCTGACGTAAACCATATGGATTTCAATGTAATATTTTGTATGGTACAACGGTATATGTATAAAGTAGAATTACAAGTACAATTACAAGCATATCACTTGCTTTACATATTACTTGCTTGCCCTCGATGAAAAGGTGTTAGATTTTCAGTTAGTTTCTAAGTGAAGACTGTATGTTCGATAAAGTGATTTTTTATGTTTTCTTTTATGATATTTTTTTTAAATTTTGCATAAATTAAACCATTTATCAAAATTATGAAATAAAAAAGTGCTATGAATAAAACACACGATTATCAACTTATGTTTCATATAGTTAAAATATATAATAAAAATCAATTTATGAAAACTACAAACAGGATTTGTCCAAGATTCCTACTAGGTTATAACTTCGTCATACTTACCACTAGGCCATCGAGCAGTATTAAATGATATATACACGTAATTATACTTACAATAAAATCGTTTACATAAATCATAATAAGTAATGAATACTAACGAAACACCTCCCGAAAATTAAAGAGTCTCGGGTAAATATTGCCAAACAATACTTGCTTATTTAATAATGATAACATTTTCTTGACAAAATTTGCTTCAAATATGATGTTTTATTATAAAATAATACAAATAAAACTCTTTTACAAAGGTTATAGCAAGAAAGATATAATTGTGACAAGAACATGAAAACGTGCTTATGAATAAACATTACTCAACTTATTGTTCCTCTTTTCTTTATACTCGAACCATTAACCTGATATTTTCTTTTATTAATAATAATACAATCATATTTCTATCCGGCGACTTGATGCTTTAGCATCAAAAACTCTACTTGTTCATACAGAGCTAATACATAGAGCAGAGTGCGTATTTTTACTAAGCATGCGCAGTTAACATTATATCAAAAGCATCATGGGAAGGTCTGTACTTAGTATGTAAATCAAATACTGTTACATCTTTTCTCTTTTACAAAAATAAGAAGTAATTTCCAATCTTATTCAGTTCAGAATACTAAATCATTAAAAACAT